ATCACATGTTCCTTAGCTTTAGCAAGGAGCAATACCACTCGCATCTTAGGCTTACCATGCTGTCGCGCCTCAGAACTAACCTTGTCGCAGCACCGTTATTTCCAGTCCTCACTCATGTCGCGAACGTCAATTCCGACTTTTAACTCGAGCTAATTTGCCACCCAATGCTGGTCATCTCAAAGATTGGGGGCGATAACTTCACTTGAGTGAAACAACAGTTTTATTTGGAAAAATGAAGGACTTTGAAAAAACTAGTTTACCTATGTGTAAAGTTCAGAGGTGATTAGCTGTTTATTTATCTCTACTTCGTGCAATAAGCCCAACTTAGCAAAAATTCCTGATTCATAGCACAAATTTTGGTTAGAAATCGAGTTTGTTCGATCATTCACCTCGGTCAAATTACAGATAAGTTGCTTAAATTTTTGTGCAAGTGGAAGTGTAGTTCTACTAAAATCAATCAGTAGCATCGCAAAAACGAAAAACCTTCGACTTTTAAGAACATTGATGAGGAGGGAGAAGGAACAGAGTGAGGATAATATAAATGTGTTCACGAATTTCTCACCGCCAAAAGCGTCTTTCACAACGCGGGGCGATTAGTCTCTCAGTTAAAATATACAGTCGTTACTTTTGTATCTTCTGCTTCGGGCATTAAGAGGAGAGCATTCCAGTCACCGCTAGGGACAAAAGTTCATTGAACTTGTGACGTCCTTCATGCGTGGCTTTCAATGTCCACTTCTTTTTACTAAAAACACGGTTACGGAAAGTACACGCATGTAGCGGCTCCCATTTACCCAACTCGTTTTTAAGCTACGAATACGTGACTTGCTGGTCAGCATCTGAGGCGAACAAAGCGTTTAAAAGACGTGAGCTGTGATATCGCCCTCCCTTCAAAAGGATGCATTCCCCATTATGTTGATCACTGGGAATGCTTTCTTGCTTTTTATCCGAATTGCTGGCTTTTCCTTTTCTAAGACCTTTTCAAAATGCAAAATGAAAGCCTTCTGACAGGGAATGCACTGACTCCGTTATTCACAGAAAGGTGAAATCATATATAATTCTTTGAAGGCGAAATTCGAAATATTAATAAATGCAGCAGAAGGCCCCTTATTCCTTCCGAGTTCTTGCCAGAGCTGCAAAATATACGAACCTGACCCGAAGGCAGGTGATCTTTTTAAATTTACTACACGTTAAATGGAATTTCAGAATAAGCAAAGGAATGGCGTGGCATGTCCTTAACACACTATGCATTGTTTAGTTTTGCATGGCGTCTTTGAAGTGATAAAATGGGTGAGGATTTTTGCAGTTTACTAGTTGGCGAAAAAACTTGTGTATTTTTAAATTTATTTAACAAAGAAGACTTGTTGACAATTGTGGAAGGTGAGTATGCGTGGCGCATCCAATTGTTGAGACTGTGTTAAGAGTCTAGACATTCTGAAATCCGCCATTACTACACTTGGTTGCATCCTCAAATGCCACTTTAGCTGACTCTGAGCCCAAAGCTAAATAAGCTGCTCTTCAGAGACCAGTTGACGAGACAACTTGGGTGAATCTAGTGATAGGTAGCCTCAGCATGAGGCTGCCATGTATTACGAGGGGTAATGAAGGTTTGCCAGATGCTGTCCGTTGAAGTACCACTGCCATATAACAGCATGAGATTTGTGTACACTCGTACGAAAATGAGAAATAGGAAAGCGATAAAGGAAGTAGAGAACAAAATCGGCCCAAAGGATTTGGTAATTTTGGCTGCGATGTGGCGAAATGGCTCGCCTTATCAAAGGCAAGTGGGCAAAATGGAAGGAAAATAAAGAAAGTTACGAAGACATCCGCAATGCTAGAGCAGCGAACTTACCAACCTGAATGATAAGAAATCAAAGGAGCTAGCCTCATTTTTGGGTATTTTACAAAGCATGAAACTCAAAAGCCAAGGCTGAACAGAGTTGGCGTTTGGCAATCGCGTCGGTCAGTAGACATTCCTCGAAGGCCTAGGGTCGTAAAACATCCCCAACCACGTAGAATCGAAGAGAATTCTCAAAGGGAATGGGGATGAATGAAAAGCTAGAAAAAGGCAAAAGCTAACTTTGATTATCTGACACTAAAGCTTCATTTTAACTACAAAACCAACATTTTATTGTGTTTTATAGAATTAGCAAAACTTAACTCAAGAGTATAGAAATTTTTACCTTTGTGAGCATGGGGTGAATGTTGAAGACCATTCTTTCAACTCTGCCCCTACTAGATTAAGTACGGGAAATTTGGTTAAACTAAGTCCTTTAATTTAACGTGGAGAATGTACGGAAGTCAGTAGACTGTGAAAAAGAGGAAAAGCCTTTAAACTCTGCCCATGTTCAAGGGAATGTGTCTCCTCTATTAGCACACAATTTAATTTAATTAGGATGAACGAGACAGTAAGTAGAAGGCTCCACTAATTCATCCCCTTGGCAGCAAATAATCACAACTGAATGCCTTATGAAGCCGCTCCACATACACACACACACACGCACCGATACTCACTTCACCGTTTGAGATGGGGTAAACAGACAGGTGAAGCAGTAATGCCACCCAATTTGCGCAGTTGCCTTGGCTCAACGGTGTGGGTGCAACAGGGTCCACTGGCCCATGAGATGAAAGGGAGAGACTGACAGGAAAACTAGCAAGACATCCTTACATAGCTGAGAGAATTTTGTGTGCTCTTCCATCGCCTCGTGTACTTCAATGCAAATAAAACATTCTAATTTAAGCCATACTTCATTTCCCAATGTCATCTACAAGTACTTCCTGATAAGATGAAATCATAGCTGCTTATCAAGCGGATGTAAGTTTGACAGGCATTTGTCCAAACCCTAGGACAAAATACCAACACACATTCATGGAAATGGGACATGCGTTATTAAGGAGCATAGAAGATGAAGGGAGGTAATAATCTCTTTCTATCCCATGACATGTCAAACTCTCCAATTTGTGCCATGGAAGAGGGGGTTGAGTACACCAACTAGAAGTGCGGTGTTGTAATGGAATATGGGAGGATAAGAAATAAAAATCGGATATTCGTTCAATTGATTAAAGTACAATTCCATCGCACATTTCTGGACATCATCAAGTTGAGCAAATAACTGTGGTTATTACACCCACTTGGCTTTTCGCGGGTCAGTTTTCTTTCTGCAGCTTCCAAGGTCGAAATCGTGCGCGTCCCAGAGGTGGACGGTAAATTATCAAACTGCTCAAAGGTGGTAAGTGATTCTATATAACTTGGTTTTGTGATCCAGATGCCATTTTTTGTAGCAAATAGAACTGCAAATCGAAATAACTGCATGACGTATTATGACTGTAGTAAGTAAAAGAGGTGGCACATGAATGGGAAAGCTTTGCAGCTCATTATTCATCATCTGTCAATGCAAAGAACATTGAGGGCGCTAAATTGTCTAATTCACACCACAATTTTTCTTAATGACCTCGTACCAATGTTAAAACTTGCTTCGTTTTCCACGTTGAATGCTACTAAGACTCACCCTTGGTAGAAGTCGTCTTAAAACTTTCATGCAATAGTGACAAGTGACTCCTCATTGCTATGATTGCTGAAGAAAGTCTTCAAGTACGATTTACACCGTCACTACGTTTTTCCCCACAGAAATACTTATGCATTAGGAGGGAGGCTTCCACGGCCCCGGAATCATATTCTACTGAATTCATATGGCAGACACGCTCAAGTCCTTCACATCACGTCCAAGTAAAAGTTCTTGTCATAGAAGGAGCACAAAAATTGCAAGCTACATGACTAGTGACCAAAGAATGATTAGCGCTTTCAGAAGGAGAATTACATGGTGCCTTAAAAGCCTTCTTTACTAAAGAAGAAAATGTGTAATGCTAAGCACTGCTGCTATGAAAGTCCTTAACATTAGTGTATTTAACTTTTCATGCAAAACTGCTCATCAAAGACCTATTTTGCTGTAGAGATCGAGTTGAACCACACTAACAAGTTACATGTAGCAGTCAATAAATGCATTTTGCTACATTCATAGGAGGTGCGTTACAAGGTAGTTTAAATCAAAATTCTAAAAGGCAACCTTTGTATTTCTATCCTAGATTTTGTTGAGGCACTGGACACTGCGCATTGCCCACTGTGTAGGTTGTGGCGGTCTGCGGGTCGATTGGCTGACTTTTTGACGGCCAAACGTCGAACCCAACTGAGATCTAGCTGCTCCATACAAATGGAAGGTTTGCAAGAAGATCCTCGCTAGAAACACCCAAAAGAACAGGACTTGGTCAAACGCATAATTTTTTTTGCGAGTTAAATTAATACCTAAGAAGCAATGCAATGGCATAGCAGAGCGATCTACATTATGACAATTGCGTTTATGTACAGAACATTCTTTTAGGGTGAAGATTTGCGAATAACTGGTGATGAAAAATTTCAGCCATCACATTAACATGCAAAACATATTTCAAAAATACTTCTTTAGCAGAGCACCTCCGGACAAATAAAAAGAGCTGACGAGATCTTTAATTGGCTTAAAATACATTTCCTGGTCCACATTTGAGCCATAAGGCCATTTAGGGATAAAAAAAAAATGGATGCTAGCTACTGTAAAAGGCATAGACAACAGAGAGGTGTCACATTTTCTACCATGAAAAAGCATGAGCACATCAAAAAACGTCCAATTAAGGGGTAAAGTATGGTAGTCATGGAGACAATTCCAACTGAATCGTTTGCAGACTTGGCTTCATTTGGATCAAAAGTCCTCACAAAACGGCAAATGCGCAGAAGCCACCAATTAGTTTTAAAAACGCATTCAACTCGTACTTAGCCAGGGAACCAAGTTAGAACGCTACTAGGTATAGCTAAGAGAAAATTGGATGCAAGGTAAGAGCTGCAAAACAGCACAGGGTTTTTATGCAAGAAATGCCGATGCTCGGTTTATCAAATATCTCCATGATTTGTTATCGTAATGGAGGGAAAAGAAGCTTTTATACTACATCTTTACCCTCTACCAAACCTCCGCAAACTAACACGCCTTAATAAGTAAGTCAATCACCAAAGCACAACATCGAATGAGGATTGAAATAGGCAATAGGGAGTGATGACGCCACTTGCCGCCAGTGTGTCCGACAAATCGTCGAATCCGATGCTTCCCTCGAGCCCAGTTTTTGCGAACTTGGTAACGCCACTTGAACTTTTGAAACCACTAAAAAAAGCCCTCAAAGTAATTGCAACAACTGATACGCCATGTCAGCCACAGCCACCCATTGAGACAAACGACCCACATCCACTCCATCGGAGGACACAGTGCCGATGTTATTGTTCTTGCTACCGATGCTGTTGCCGCTGTCGCTGCCGCTGCTGCTGCTGCTGGTGGTGCTGACAACAGCCGCGGTGGCGACATCAGCCGTGACATTGGACATGGTGGTGGTGTCGGAAGGGGAGGGTAGGTTAGGAAAGAAGAAGTTGGCATTGCGACACTCCAAAGGAGGCGGAAAATGTGCATCCAGATTGGGCAACGACCACTCGGGACTACAGCAGAGACGTTGAAAGAGACGGGGATGGTGAGTGGCGCGGTTCCAGGCGCGGTTGACCTGAGATGCGCGCATCAGACACTCTAGGTGCAGAAAGGCGCAAAACAGTACAAACGGTAAAGTGCAATAACACTTAGCCACACACAGCAGTGTCAGTTACCAATTATTCCAAGCTCATAGTTCAAACACGGTTACGTAATGGGAGCGGTTAAACACTCTTTTTTTCTTACTCCCACCCATCCAACGCTGGTGCAAGTTCAAACGTATTCGCAAAATCGTTATTGCATTGAAAATGGTCATTTGGCATCGCACAAAACCCCTCCATGAGGCATTCCCTTCTAAGCTGAAATTGGCCAAACTGCCCTCACCTTTCTGCAACCAAATAACCATTAAAGCCTAAACACAAGTGAGCCAAGGGAAGGCATCATTAATCCCTCCCCTCCATAACATACTTCACAATGCAGGCACGTCTTCTATGGCAATGGTCTCATCATCTCAGTGGCAGGATGGATGTGCGTTGGGACTGCTAATGCACCGGTTAGGACAATACTATGCCGCAGAAAAGGAAACCCCAAATTCAACAACACCAATACTTGGTAAGTGAGAACATCGAAGAGGCTGGACGAATCAGTTCGAGAGGGAGAAAGTGAAACCAGAACAAGCCGTGCTCCTATTCACCTAAGTAGGGCAGTACTTTTATCCATTAACTCAAAATCTATGACAAATAATGATGTGATTCTCACGGAATATGAAGCCGCGCTTAAAACCTGCGAAAAGAGTGGTCCTTCCAGGATCACCTGCCATCCCATCACCACTACCATTCGCATTCCTCCTTCGAAACACTCGGTAACACTCTCGCAAAAATCAACTCTGATCACGTTGGAGGAAACTGCCAATCCAATGCATGTCAGCCTTCAACTTCGCCCCAAGTAGCACCACCATGCAAATTCACTGCCTGCCAAATATACCCCACCTGTAGACACTGCAGGAACCTCACGTCGACCCACATGCGGTCGCACCAGTGTCTCCACTCCACTGCACTTTGGCTATCCAACTGTGCTGAGCCAACGCTTGCCCCAACTTTGCACTTTCGGTTCAGCCTATCGCGACCTCAACAACACCGAAATAACCGGCTTAAAGTCGACTCTTACTTGCATAACACGAACAACTTGTCGACGCCCATTTCTCCACTCACCAGATGGCGATATCCTGGGCACACAGATATTGCATCAAACAGTTATCACATTTGAGAGTCGGTGTCAAGACACAGACCTGCCGAACAGATAATGGGGGGTGCATGAGGCAATTTAGTGGTCCACGTTACGTTTTCTGAAAGACCGTGAAGCAGTTAGTAGGAGGTGTAGGGCAGTTGAGAGGGCGTTGCGTCGACCACGCTAAGAGAGTTAAGGAGGACATCTTTTGGAATGCAGCTTGACTTCCGTTTTATGGGTAATAATAGTGGGCGAACCTCGTAAGGAAGGAAACGGCAGTAGACGAAGGGCAGAGATTTTGTAAACAGAAATGTACAGCCTGTAAAGTGTACAGGCAGCACTGCTGAGTTAAGACTACAGTTCATAAGCAGTCATGGGATAGAACAAATCTGATATACCATTTTTGGTTAAATATCGGTTGCCTACAAAAGCCCTGGTAAGTAAAAGTACTTTACATGAAAATGCTTGTTGTGACTAATTGCCGCTATAAATATCATACAGAACCAAGAACAGCAATAAACAGGTTGCCCTCCCTAAGTTCTCCACGAAAAGCTTTATGGTTTAAGAAACAAGCAAGTTATCAACTCATATAGTTAGTGCCCATACTGTTCGCCAAATGTTAGAGAAACCTACCCAAGCCTCGCCCTCAGCCGCGTTCCTTTGGTTGGAATGAAGGTGAAGGCTGAGAAACCTAGCTGTTACGACCGTGATCATTCGCGTTTGGCATATCATAAATTGACTGAGTAAGTTGTAGCCTTGTGAATATGATTTACTTCATATGAGAGTCAATGGAGTACGGTGTTGACAACTGTTCGAATATCAACCAGGAATGGAAATCTCGTTTGGCCGATGTGAATGTCCATCTAAACCTCCCCAACAGATGACAGGGAAGACTAAGATGAGAGAAGTAGATTGGCAAACGTGACTTTAAATTTTCATCTTTCCCGAAAAGCAGAGTAAAATTGAATTTGGGGAAAAGGTTATAAACCCTACCAGGACGGAGATAGCTGAAGATTTGGAGGACAAGTTCCAAGGGAAGCCACTTAACAAAATCGTAGCAATCTTCTTTCTTGCAATCGGAGTGAAGTCGTGAAGCCAGCCTCAGGCTTTCGAAGTGATTCAGCCGCAAATTCGCCTAATAGCAAATTTCCGATATTATAATCACAAGCAACAGCACATTCTCTTTTATTTCCATATTTAATCAATAGAGCCAAGAGGATGAAAGGTGGGTGTAGAAATAACTGAGCTAAATACTCACAGTTATGCCTTCCAGTAGCCGATGCTTCTGAGAAGTAGAGAGCAAATGGCAAAGCTTTGATGCCAACTGAAGGGTTATTCAAACGATTGTTGGAAAGAATACAGGTATTAAGATCTCGACCTGCTCGTAAACCAAAGATTACCTGGAATGATGCATTCCCATCCAGTGTAACCACGATTTCCTGTCTATCTCAAAATAAAAGCCAAAAGGAATGCCTACCGTTTAAAGTTCGATGACTTCGACTTGAAATGCAAATTGTACAGCGGTGAAAGTTCATTCACCTGTGGTGATAAAAGCAAGCAACTCTTTGGTTTCATTGCTAAGTGAAACAAATGGAAAAATTAAAGCATACCTCGACTGAAAAACATTCAAAGAGTTCTGGTGTACCAGGACAGTGCCGTTTTGAGCAAGCATTCATTTCATTTGGGGCTGCAACAAAGTGGCGTCGACAATGAAGAGGCTATCGGCAAATGTCTGTCACAATAACGAAAAATACAAGACACCAAAAGAAGAGGGTTCAAATACATTTGCTAAGAAACATTGTGGATCAGTCGCATTTAATAAATAAGACAATGCAACCAACTATGTACGAATTGCAAGACCGTAAAATCAACGCTAGGACACAGTAGACACGCGATCTTAAAAGAACCAGTGTGAAGAGACGACCCATCTTAGCTTCCAGTGGCGCTAAGTAAGCCGTCAAAATGTCAAATTATTAGTTAAAGAATAACCATGATGCGCAACCACTGACATGAAAAAAACAGGACCAACCCTGAAGCATTAGATATACAGGTTAAATGCACCAAATTTTTGATTGGTGAAATGATGTCTAGGGCACAACGTTGCACTCACAAGTTTATCAACAAAGGATTTCCAATAGTATAAACTTTACTGAAGACTTTCGACCTTACATCACTGCTAGATTACATGTGTTTAAGAGCTTTTTCTATAATAGTTACATTTCATTGTCTTTCACCTCTCACGATATAGTACTGTGACAGTTGTATTGAAATTTCACAAAGCAAAATTAGCTTAAGCTCTCGGGGTAATGGTAAATTGAAGCATGATTAACTGTTTTTTCGGTAACGAATTATCCTACTATTTGGTATTGAACGGAGAGAAAGCCTGCTTAGGTTAATCGTCAATGTAGCCACCATTCTCGGCTTGGCTTGTCCTCCCAAAGATATCAAAAGGCGATTTCCCGGGTAGAGGTTTATTTGACACTAGTAAGGTGTATACTGAGTAAGATAGTGCATGGGTGACCAGAGTCACTTATTGGTGAGAGGCGTTTTTTCAGCAGGCTCCTCGAGAACGCATTATAATTGAGTACCTGCCTTCCACTTGTAAAAGTCCTTTTAAACAAGTTATTTGTATTACAATAAAATTCGTCACTTTCTGACATGGTTATGCTGCTGCTGCTGCCTAGCGCACTTCATGCATCCAAATGCTAATTCGTGCACAAATAATAAATTTGCCGTCAAAATCTACTGTCTAATTTACACAAATTCGTTACGTCTGGAGATTACGCGAATCAGTATTGCGGCCTTTTTGCCTTTCAACTTCTGATCTTAACCAGTGAAAGTTGTTAAACTAATCGCATGTGGTACGATTTAGATAGTCTTCTAATCTTAGTAGATATCTTCCTTGCTTGGTTTAGGTGTCCGGTTTTTGTCCTTTAATCCCATTGAACGTTTTACGAAGGCAATAAAATTAATACTTCTGATCCACTGAAAGATTGATAGAGCAATTAAAAGCTCTATTTCACATGTTCTGCGTGACAGTTTATTTGTAAGCATAGATGCCTATGCTAAGAAAGCATGAGGATACTGATCAAGCTAAGATACTTGGGATTTTTGTCCTGTCCTGGGTAGATTTGTTGATGTCTGCTTGCATTTTTATACCTACTTATAGCACTGTATGCCAGTATTAATCACAAATAGGTTCATGAACAAAAGGCAAAATGTGCATGGTCGATCTTGTACTTCATCATTCATCTGCTCAAAGTCTCAGTAAGCATGCGTGTATAGGAGGATGAGGAAAATGTCTACACGGGATGAAAACAATGCAACAAAATACAAGCGCACTCGAAATAGTCTGTGGTGATTTTATGCAAACATATTAAGAAAGAGATTGAGGATTTTAGGCGCGCTTGCAAAGTCAGAAATCGACATCTAAGTGCATCTAATAGTGGATTTATCAGTTTTGTTTCAAAAGAACAAAAAACATAGAGAAAAGTCCCCATTCCATGTCTGTGTCGAATGTAGATATTACGCACTATGAACTTGACCCTAGTTTGGTAAAACTTAGAGATTGTTTAAGCTTGCGTTTTTATGGCATGAAGGCATGTAAGGCTCAATAAAAAAACTTCCGTTTGTCCGCGTGACCTTCGGACTATATACGTGGCAGTACGACACGTTAAAATACAGCAGTAAAAATTTTCAAAAATAAAGACTTCTAAGGGCTGCAGAAAAAATTAAAGCACTAGACTAGCAGCAATGGTAAGCAAAAATACGCTGAAGAACTATCAATTTGGTTTTGGTTGAATACGCTGAAGCATGTAAAAGCAATAAGGCCATAAGCTTAAAATTGGAAAAAATGATGAGATTTAGCAAAGCAGCATTATCTAAGGCTACCTAAATCATTAGGAGTGATGTTAGGAGCTAAATACCAGCAACTAGTCATCCAGAAATGGTAGTGACTTACTTGCGTAGGATAGCAACACAAAGATTTAAAATGGGTGAGAAAGCTACACCCAAACCCTACACTCACATCAACAACCAAACGCAGCCAGTAACCGCCCTAGCAGCCCACTGTCGATTCCATGCGACCACAAAGACACTCCAGTAACGTTACACCTTCTAGTCCTCCTTCTGCCACACATCCGCCGCCGCCGCCGCCGCCACCACCACCACCACCACCAGCATGACCACCCACCACACCACTTACCTATGCCTTCACAGCCTCCGACTCACGCCTCCACCCACAACAGCAACAACCCACCCCACCTCCGTCTACTTCTACGCTGCCGAATTCGTCACCCAACTTCATGCCCTCCGGCACACTTTCACCTCACACCAAACACATGCAATGCACTCCTCCCTCTCCCACTCATACTGCACCTAATTGAGGACACATCAAATCACTCCATTACGCCGCTCAACGTTAGCAAACACAACCCCCTCCACACGTCCTCACAGCAGCCTCGTTGGTGCGCACCAGCACTGGCTTCGCATTCCTCACCTCTATCCACCTAACTTTATGTCCCAACACCTGTCTCGAACCCACTCATTTCCTTCCCTGTCCGTCCCACTACCCCATACCAACGCAGACACGCCAAACACTCTCCTCCTCCTCCTCCACCAAACCTCATTTCACTCTGCATTCCTCTCCACAACACACTGTTAGTCTAACAAATGCACACGTCCTCCAGCCTCCACCTCCCCCACTCCTCACTTCCTGTTGCCCCACTTCGATCCTGCCCTTCCATACTGCCTCGTGAGAGCAGACCGACGCTACCAATTTGGCTTTTGTGACAGATCATTTTCTCCACTTCATCTACTTCACCTCACCTCACCTCACCTCACCTCAACTCGGCCTTATCCTGCTCTGTTCTGCTTTGCTCGCTCCCCTTTCCACCTCGAGGTCTCCTGCGT